AACTTGAAACATTTTCATTTTGTTTTGGTGGAAAATTTTAAATCAAAGGTAGATGTATTTTTCAGCTCCCTCCCTCCAAGTGTMATTTACAAGTGTGCTAAATGGCATTAACTTGCACTTGAGTGTTGATACTGTTGTAAACGTGGAGTTACTGKTTGGAGATGCCTTATTATAAAATAAACAAATATAGGCAAAAAGAAATATGGCTTAAACCACAGTGGTGGRGAGAGTAGGATTTTCCCTTTGGTAGTACCCAAGGACTGCATCACCCTGTGAGTGAGGACACTAATATTCCCCGCATGCTGGGCACCTCTATGGATATACTTAGGGGGGAAAATAGTCRCACAAGAAAAAAATGCATTTGACCAAACCGAGGGTGAAAGGTGGAGAAGCAGCAGCGCTCTTGCACACCACACACCTGGCTGCCAGCACAGAAGGCCTGCCTTAGTGCAGCGCCAGCCAAGGTGATTCTGCTCCTGAGCCAGTTCAAGTTCACCTGCTGATTCCAGTGCAGGCTGTCTGGAGCAGGGACTCAGGGATTGTGGAKAGCCCTTTCCACCTGCCAACGTACRTGCSCATCRACCTGTGTGAGAYGGACTGAGACAAGGCCAAGGCTGAGGACAGCCGGACCTGGGTCTCCCTGAAAAGCTGCACAGCTTCCACCAGCTCATAGTCACTTGCTCAGGTCGACTCCAGGGAGGACCCACTCTGCCAGCAATGTCTCGCCCATGCCTCAAAGCACAGAGTTTACATGGACAGACCGTGAGTCCTGCATGTTGAGAATAACCAGGCGACATCCCTTGCTAGAGTCGRAAGCACATCGGGAGGTCACATGGAGGCACCGTCACACCTCCTGGAGCTGGAGTGGAGGAAAGAGGAAACAAGCCACAGGATGCTGYTTCCAAGCACTAACTGGAGAGGCACTGGTGGCTGCCATTTCCAGTGTCCCCTCCCCTGCTGCTATGTGAGCACTGACACATAGCTGCACGCCTACCTGTGCTTTACCTTGCAACAGACCTTGGAACACTTCATTAAGGCAGAATTTCCTTACATGGTGTTTTGCTCTTCGTGGGTATGTTGCCCCTACAACCTTCCTGATAGTCATTAGTGCCCCTGGACTAAAACAGATGGCACTTCTGCCACTGCTGCTCCTTCAGGGCTGTTGCTTTGGGGAAAGGAAGACTCGGGGGCTGTCCCCTACATATGGAGGGGAAATCCCAGTTGCCTGAGCTCAGATAGAACAGTGAAAGGAAAAGTGACAGTTTAATTCAACACCTTCAAGTCCTTATTTTCAAAGCTCTGTATCATTTAAGTGTCATGAAAACTTGCTTTGAGAAATGAGCTCTGAGCCATGAAGCAGGAGCTGCCTGTGTGTTACAACCTTGTCCTTGAGGTTAGAATCCATTCTGTTTATGTTAGACAATTTAGAAATGAGGCTGTGGTGTGTGGGGTCCCACAGGCAGTGTATCTATGGTTCGATAAAGATTTGCAAAAACACGTTTCTCCAGCTTGTCTGAACTTTGCATATTAAGTAGTTAAATAACATGAAAGAGTTATTTTTTAGGTTCCTTGAGATAGGACAATACCATGGTATCTGCAGTTATAACCACCAGGAAGAATGCGTATAAAATGCTTCGTAAATTTACTAATGGGATGAGAATGGGAAGGTATTTGCTGTTCTGGGTGCACCGTGGGCTGCACTCATCTCCTGAGCCCCTGTCACTAAGGGGATCGCCCGGGGCTTCTCCATGCCACTCTGTAGGTTGCACAGAGCCAGCTTTCCTTCCTTCGTGTCCCCACGCAGCCATCCTGCTTGCCCATGGAGTTTGGTACGGCCCTTATTTCTTACAATGGTGATGTGTTAAAAAAAAACTAATCAGATCAATTAAATGCGATTTCATTTTTATACTTGYGGGAGCCCTTCAATTAAATAAATTATAAACCAGACTGTGTTTCCTAATKAGAGGCCAGAAAATGCAGTAGTTCCTGTTCCATGCCTGATTCTTGTGGAGCCATGAGAAGAATGCTAAAGCTTTGCTGGAACGTGCTTAGACACCAGACCCAACTCAGACCGCCCTTGCTGTATGTCGTCAAGACAGATTTAAGAAATCTCAACAGATGCATGATCAAGGTACAAGTTCTCCCACAGAATGGCTCAGCAAAGTCAGACATTGCTGTGTCTCTTCCGGTTACCATGTTCTCCCAGCAATATGCAAATGCACAAGCCAATGTCGGCCAGCCATCTGCCTTCTTTTATTGACAATACTTTAACTAACCAAAACATTCCAGAAGCACTGCCAAGCCTACCAATGAGGACCCAGTAGGGAACTTACATCAGGAGAATAGTTGTGCAGGTGGCACAAGCACATATCACAGTGTGCACCCAGCGGTGCCCTGTGCAGCCGTCTCAAGGCTGGAGCCCACTCCCTGGTGGACCACCCTGCTGCACAGGTGGAAGCTTCCCCAGGGAATAAAGACAAACCCAGCAAGCCCAGCAAATGCACTGGGGCCCCGTAACCGTGGTCCAGAATAACACWGTGTCTCTTACCTTGCATTGTTGCTTTTGTTGGTTCCGAAAACAGAGGAATGAGCAAGAGGTAGATCAGGTAGACAAACGACAGCCCGTTGTATCGGAATGCACACGCTGCAGTTGGGAAGAGAGAAGAGGGAGAACGTCGTTACCAAGCAGGTCAACAGAAGCCGGCGTACACAACAGTGTGGTGACAGCATCAGCTGCCACTGGAGGGAACAATACCACTTCCTGTGTGGACATGTTAATCCCATTGCAATAAATGAGTATTTATTCCATGTTCATCACTATGTCAAACGTGATGTGAAACAGAATTAAAATACATGGTCCCAGGTCTTTGAATCTAACCTGAAAGCATAAAAGTTTAAAGAGACACTATTAAAAATAATAATCACTACAATAATTTGTTGAGATATACATAATATGAAAAGATGTGCATCTGACATAAAAACCGAACAGTGTAGTCTTTTATGTGCAATTGACATTGTTATCAGCTTCAAAAAGCCTGTTACAACTGTGTTTTATGTTCACCTAATCACGACCATTAAACAAAAACCTATAGTCGATTCACAAAGGATAGAAATTTAAAAAGTAGGGTGGGTGGTAGTGGCGCACGACTGTAATCCCAGAGGCTCATGAGGCAGAGGCAGGAGGATCGGGAGTCCAAAGCCAACCTCAGCAACAGTGAGGCACTAAGCAACTCTGTGAGACCTCATCTCTAAAGAAATTACAAAATAGAGCTGGGGATGTGGCTTATGAATAAGTGCCCCTGATTACAACTCCTGCCCAGCCACCCCCCGCCCAAAAAAAAAAAAGAAAAGAAAATTAAAACATGCAACTGGAGAAAAATCATCAAATGAAAAGAAGGTGGCAAGAGAGGAAGAAAGGAAMCAAAGAAGGACCAAGCAACTGGAAGAGAGGCGACAGAACGGCAGCAGGGAGTCCTCAKCTAGGGACAACCACCACCTCTGATGCAAATGCACTATGTTCTCCACTCCAAAGACGCAGAGAGGACAAGGGAATGGAAAAACAAACCCWCTAGGTGCTGCCTACGAAAGATTTTCTCCACATTTAAGAAGACACARGAAGTGAGCGTGAAGGGTAGAAAAAGATATCCCAAGCAAATGGAAATGAAAAGAGAATAGAGTAACTACACTTAGACCAGACAAAACAGACTTAAAGACAAAAACTACACAGGGGACCAAACACAGGACTACACAGTGCTGAAGGGTCGACTCACCGGGGGGATAGAACTGTTGCAAATGCATATACACACTCAACCCCAGAGCACTAAGTGTAGGAAGGAAGAATTACAGACATGAAGGAAAAGATGGACTACAGGGTTGAGTGCAAGTTTGAGGCCAGCCTCGGCAACTTACTGAGACCCTGTCTCAAAAAGTAGAAAGGGCTAGTGATGTGACTCAGGATAGAGGGCCCCTGATGTTAGTCCCCCTAGAAGAGATGGACTACTGAATAGAAAGGGATTGAGAACCCTACTTTCAGCAATGGACATACCATTCAGACAGAGTCGACGTGAACATCAGACTTCAATTAAATTTTAGACTAAATGAACCCAGGACACTCATACAGAACATTCCCTCCAACATTCCCTCAACTGCACATGAAAGGTTCTTCAGGTCAGAACATAGGTGATGCTGCTAAAGAAGTTTTTAAAAATTGAAGAATGCGGGCTGGGGATGTGGCTCAAGCAGTAGCGCGCTCGCCTGACATGCGTGCGGCCCGGGTTCGATCCTCAGCACCACATACCAACAAAGATGTTGTGTCTGCAGAGAATTAAAAAATAAATATTAAAAAAATTTTTAAAAATAAAAAATAAAAATTGAAGAATGTGGAAATTCACAT